TTTGTCGTACGACAAATGTAATACCAGCCTTAGATTGAAATTTGACCAATCAGAGTAAAAGTTACGAAACTTGAAATTACTAAACTTTACTGTGATTGGTTAAATTTCAATCTAATTCCAATCCCAATCCGTAGTCTGATACGGGCTTAAAGTTTACTAATCTCAAGTTCAGTAACTTTTACTCTGATTGGTCAAATTTCAATTTAATCCCAATCCCAATCCGTAGTTTAATATGGGCTTAATGCGTGGTCTACAATGCGAGTCGTAATCGTAAGAATACTCGACTGCGATTGGTCAATTTCGTCAGACACATAAGAATTGACCAATCATAGTCGACTATTCTTACGACTATGACTTTACGACTTCTATGTAGACGAGACTTGAGAGTCAGCAGAGTCGCAGTCGTAAGAATAATCGACTATGATTGGTCAATTTTTATGTGCCTGACGGAATTGACTAATCGCAGTCGATTATTCTTACGACTGCGACTCTCATTGTAGACCCAGCGTCGTCTACATAGAAGTCGTAAAGTCGTAGTCGTAAGAATAGTCGACTGATTGGTCAATTCTTATGTGTCTGACGGAATTGACCAATTGCACTCGATTGAGAAAATTTGGTGATCATGTTCTCCTGATACTCTGCCGGTTTTTGAGATTCCCTTATTTGGTTCCTTGTTGGAACTAAAAGTATAAACTAATTATATTGGATATTGGACATCGTACATCGGATCTAATGTGGATCCTGCATTAGACTAGGTATTAGGCCACATTTTCATGTTTTAAAATTTTCCAATTGTATTGATTGGTTGCAAGATAGTAAAATTCTCGAATATGCAGAAATCTGTTATTTTGTAGCTAATAATTAAGCTTAAAAAAATTAGTCGTACGACAAATAAAATATGGAAGATTCACATTGCCGTCTGATGTCCATCGTTAGTTTCAAGTGTAGAGAATGTAGCAAAGCGTAGCTAGGACAAAAAGAAACAGACTTCGCAGATCTGTTTCTCTAATCTAGCTAGACGTAAAAACGCCGCTAGCCAAATGTTGCATCTCCGATTAATTTAATTAGCCGATTAAATGTCAGTGTGCCATTGGAATTGACCAATCGCATTATCGTTAGGCTGAATTGTCCAGAATCAACCAATCACGCTGGACACTTAATCGGCCGATTAAATTAATTGGAGATGGGTGTGAAAGGAACCCAAAGTCCCTGGGGGAAACCGTCTGGCGAGCGGCAGGACGCGGCCTCTGTGCGTTCGTGGCCGAGCTACAGCGATGTGTCATGGGATATTCAATTGTTTGTAAATATTTTGCGTATATATAAACTTTTTTTCTACGTTCCACTTGACGCGACGCGAAGTCCGTTCCACCGTGAAAGCGTCGCTAGTTTCCGTACGCAGGTTGCACGATCCCGTCGTGTACAGAGCGACTGTGAGTTTACTCCACAATCGTACAGCCGATATCATAAGACTCGTTTGAATCAGTCGTGGAAACTTGCTACAAGTCCTCCGTTTATTCTAACGAACTTAAATTAGCAGCCACGACACGGTTGTCTTTGCACGCGATTCCGTAACTCGCGCCGTATTTCTCGCTATGCAGAATGCACGAATCTCGCGCGGAGGTCAGAGGTTATAGAACCAGATACCTGACGATCGGCCCAGGGCGTTTAAAAAAAGAAAAGGCGCCTTCGATAATTGCGATTTTGCACCGAGACAGAGCGCAGAAAAATGTAACACGTGAGTCGAGAGCGACGAGTGTTCTAACGGGTATCGCATTGTTGCAGGTGTATGGGCGGCTTGAGATCGGTCAACAATGTCGACGTTAGCAACACCTCGGAAATTGCCGATCTTTGTATTTCCGCAGAGCATCACGTTCTACTTGGACGACCAGTCCACCCACAAGCAAGTGTTAACTTTGTATAACCCATATGAATTCCCTGTAAAATTCAGAGGTAACTTTCTTCGTCTTCATCCGACAAAGGAATCTTCAACTCTGACCTCGTGTCCGTTTAATAAATCCTCGTTCCAGTCCTGTGTACCGCGCCATACAAGTATCAGGTAGTCGATCCGGAGGGCGTGATAAAGGCCAGTTCCTGTGTCGATATTGTCGTCAGACATACGGCGACCTTGGCAAGTAACTGCAATGTGATCGACAAATTTAGAATACACATGCACGAGTATCCCACCAAACAGGTAACGCTTGTGAACGCGGGTGATCGTAGGCGGCACTCGTTGCCCCGGTCTAAATTCACGTCAATCTCGCTAGGTGATCGGTAAGAGAGATGTAGAAGCTAAGCTTCTCCCTGGAATAATGGATACTGGGAGGGCAACGCCAGATCCAGATGTCTTTCAGCAACTTCCATTAAATGAGAATAGGCAGCAGGAATCCTATGCGCTTATAAGCCGAAATAAGACGATGGACAGTGAGTGAACGTTTAAATTTAAAATAATAGAGATTTTCTATTCCCATTCCGTACAATGCGACTTGCATTTATAAAGCTCCAACTGGTACACAAAAGTTGGACGTATGAATTCAAAATAGATTCTCTGTTGATTGCATTTGTACAGAAAAACAATCGTCTCCAAACAAATTAATGCAGTATGTTGATAACCCACGAATTATATTTTAGGAGGTACAAATTATGTAGCGCTTATCGCAGGAATTATATGTATAATTGGGCTACTTATGCCAACTGAAGGAGAAAAGAACCATAGGATGCCTGATTACCTCCATCTCTCTGTAAATTTCAAATTAATATTCTCATTTGTATTAGGTAAGTGTATGATTCTACGTATTTTCTCAGTTCTCTTAGCATCTTGTCAAACGCGCGACGACTCCTCTGTACCGAGTTTCTTACATTTGCAATGCTTATATTTAATAGAAAGGCCAACATAGAGGAAAAAAAACAGATAATATACATTGTATCCTCTCTCATAATGGTGTAACTCTCGTACGTGCATACACAGAGTTGATTCCCAGCCTATTCCCAACCTACTCTCATTGAAAGAAGCGAGGATGCGATCTCTTCTCTCTTGTTCTAAGCTGTACCAAGTCTATTTTTACTATGAATTTAACGCCGACGCTCTAAACGGTTTCTATAGAGGGGTCCTCGTGACAAAACACTCGCTGGATTACCATTGCCTTCCGAGATACGATGGTTAGAAAAAAATCGGTGATTTTTAGTTAGATTTGAACTCGGATCTTAGGCTCACTAGAGCACATTTTTTTGCGCCACGATTGCTATACATGTACACATACCTACATATATAAATCGATATGAATATAGAATTACAATGACTCTTTTGTTGCAGGTATGGTTGCAAATATCGTGTTAGGATTATAAACCTTAGACTTTTATACAAACGGAAACTTTATATACAGGATAAAAATTTCTAGGATAAAAGCACAATTACTACAAGACTTCGTGACACTGGGCCTCCTTTCTTATGAAATGTATTCGATTCTAGTCTACAAATGATAAATTTCAATTGTATTGACCAAGATATTTATTTCTTATAATTATAATTTTATAAATATGCATATATTTATGCTACACACACATATAAAATAATATAAAATATAAAAATATATTATAATATATTATATTTATGTTATATATATATGTGTATGACAAATATGTACATATTTATAAAGTTATAATTATATTAATATTATAATTATACATATAAGAAATATTCTGGCTCGTGAACTATACTGGCCTACTCAGAAACTAATTAATTTTACTATTTAAATCACGCGATTGTGTATATATATATATATCTCCCGACGATAAATTGTACATTTATAAATGACGTAATATAATGAGGTAGGAGCGCTGTTGGAGTTCATATCGCCAGTTTGTTCTTGCATCTTTATGTTGTATATATAATCATTGTGATATATCTCGCCATTCATAATGATCATTTTATATATTCTAATTGCCATTGATCTCATGTACAGTTAGGTAAGGGTCTTCCTGTATATAAACATGGATTGAAATTCAAATATTAAAAGCATCTGCAATGAACAATTCCGACTTTTCTGTCACCCTCTGTTATCTGTTGCAATCTTTTGTTACGGAGTGCCGTGTCGCAACGATGAAATTAATTCACGATGAAATCAAACTTTCAAATAAAAATCCTCGCGATGTCTAGAGAGAGAGAGAGAGAGAGAGATGGAGCAAATCTGTGTCTCCTGTTTTTTATAAATAGAAAGTTCAGAAATATATTACAAGAGGCAACGGTCGGTTTTTTTTTTAAATGAGAAATGTGCTTTCGCGAATTTGGACAAAGACGAATTGTATGAAACCGCTCACTGAGTAAGTAGCCACAAATTTCCTTTGTGTTAAACGATTTGGAAATAAGGACATTTATTTATTTATGATCAATGTATATTCATTATTTACATAAGTTACAACACAGACACTTGTGAATGAAGTGTATCGTCAAAAGGATGTTTCTTAGCACGCTGCGTCTCATTATACGTGCTGTCGGATGCGTGATCCTCTGAGAAGAATCAGCTGCATTTCCAAAAAAAAAGAAGAAAAAAAACGTAACACGATTAGAGAAAACTTTTTCCACTTGAATTTGAAAATAATCTCCGAAGTCCCACCGCTCAAATTACCTGTAAGTCTGTCAGGAAAAAATGTAATACGTCCTGTTCTCCGAGTTGTACAATTTTAGAGTCTGTGCACGTTCTTCAAACTCTCGTTGTGGGTTTTATACTCCATAGAGGCAGTGGATGGAAGATGCAGTACTCTTCTTAAAGTATCCCTAATCCGCGCCGTTATCGTCACATCCGACGCCGTCTTATTCCACACGCATATTATATCCTCCTGTCAAATTGACCGGATTACAAAGCCGAGCCTTTATACCCGGCGCAAGCCACGCAAGGCGTCTCGCCTACCTGAAATCTTATAGACACGACGGCACCGCATATTTCCTCCCCTACCATAAATTGCTCCCCTAAAATTGCCAGTATAAGATTTTCCCAGCACCTGGAAACTAAACCCTTCCGTAATCTCACTATCCACTTGCCGCCTTTCTGATTCGCCTCGTCCTAGAAAGAGAGAGAGCGAGAGAGAGAGAGAGAAAGGACGGAGTTTGACTTGCAACGCGAGCAAACGAACGGAAAACGTCGCTCACCTCCCACATGGGTTTTATGCCGACTTTGAAGAGATGGAAGTCTGTGTGCGTTGTGAGATCCGACGGCCGTACCAAGTGACTGTAAAGACCCCAGAACTGCTCCACGCTCGCGAACCTGCCGACAAGCTTCAGGTTCTGATCGTAGCTCTGTATGCTGGTCTGTTTGCCGGGGCTACGCCGGCTGTACCACAGCGCGTAAGCGTACTGTAGCTTGTGCTCGTTTGGACTTATCTCTACCGGAGGCTGCAAAGCGGACACGATCGTCAGGTGTTTACGTCGATACCAACGCCCGGTGTCGCCAATCTGTTACTCACTAATGGACCCTTCTCCGCCTTTTGATTATCCTTCGTCTGAGACTCCTCGTCTCCGCTGTCCTCGGCGGGTTTCAATCTGTAAGCGCTGTCACAATTCATGAGTCAAGCAACAACGGGAAATCGAAGTATGTATACCTCGAGCATCAGTTTCGCATTAATTAAGGGTCAACTCTTGGACCGGACGCCGATTGATCCGGCAAAATCGCCCGCGGCGAAAATCTCTACCGCGAGCCGGCCTCCGTTTTTTTTTTTCCGCCGACTCTAACGTCTCCCTCGCGGGCGTCAATGCGAAATCAATAAATTCTATCCACGTTCACGGGAATTCTAAGTGACGTCGATTTGCAAACGCGCGTAGCCCACGCCGTCGTCGAGGGCCAGGCCAGGCCTTCGCTGGCGGGAAATGGAAGCGCTCGAGCGACGACACGCGACAGATGGGGGGGACACGTTTTATCGCGAGCCCGTCGCGATAATCCCCGCTGCGCGTCTAACCTCAAAAGGAAGATTCGCCGCGGGGCGAATTTCGAACTTACGTCTCGAATTTATTGGACATGCTGGCGGCTGCCGGGACGAAGTATCGTAACGCGCGATTATACGCGAACCGAAGTACAAAAAAGTCACGCGAAACACTCGGCCACTTCCTAGCTCGCACGTTGAGCTTTCACGTCTGCGTTGTTTTCGATAAACTGTTGATCTTCCAGCATACGTCTCACTCTTTCGCTCTCCCTTCTCTCTCTCTCTCTCTCTCTCTCTCTCTCTCTCTCTCTCTCTCTCTCGCGCCCAGCCTTTCCTTTTCGCTTTTTTACGTTGCTTCGTCGGAGATTTTACGCTCGCATGTTGGTCATATTAGATACTAGATTGCGTATATGTATAGATCGCCACAGCGAGTAGCGAATTGCGTTACATATTTGAATGAAATTAGCCGATGGTCGGCTCGTGTCGCATAATTTAAAAGTATGAATCATTTTGCGAATGGAAACTTTGATTTATTTATGTCGGCTAAGTGCACAGTGTTAAAATAATCAATTAGAAATATTTTAATTCGATTGTCTGATCGTTCCAATTGCACTTCGAAAATTATCGTCGGGAATGCAATATCGGGAGGAAACTTTAAGCTTTAAGAATCCATCGATCATCGGCCAATTTTTCGTATATTAAACGACAAAAAATTGGCAATCAGTTCATGAAACAGTACTGCTAAGTAAATTGTTGATTAATTTAAGAATTGTTCAAAGCGAAAATTTTAATTATATGATCCTTCTAATCCACATTTTAAATAATTTAAATAATGCAAATGTCAGGCGGTAAATTAATCGAATTTTGATCATACTCATTCTATATATGCCGCGATGAAAGCATTTAAAGAATTAAAATGCACACGTTTATTATAATACACACAAAATGTATCTATTATTGAAATGTATACACACACATTGAAATGCGCACGTGTAGGATTAGAAAAATCCCCCTAAAATCTAGAATGTAAATTATGTGTGTAGAATGTAAAGCGGATTCTTCTCACGAAACTTCCATTCGTTTCTCACGATCGAAAACAAAAGTTCGCTTAAGTAACGGTCCGTCGAAATCAATACGCAATCACTTGCGGGAGTGAAGGTACAACGCGCTTAACTTGAACTATAATTTTCACATCGTTTAATCGTATTAAAAATAAGTAAAATGTTTGTTTTATATGTAAAAAAAAAGAAAAAGATCCAGCGAGCTGTAAGTACAATATCTCGCGCGGCCGAACGTTTTTAGCTCTCTCTCCTGTTGCCGACAGCGAACTCCAGCTTCAGCTTCTTCATGATCTCCTCCCGCTGGTGAATGATCTCCCTCCGGCACAGCGGCGAAAACGCGATCGGGCACTCGTATTGCAAGGTCTCGATGCATCTCGTGTCCTCCGCGCCGTCCGCGTCGAATCTAAATTGCGAAACGGCCTCCACTGAAAAGCAAACAGCCCGATTGGAATAAATACGATTCGTTCGAGATGTTTATGTGGCCGGCGATAAGGCGCGTCGAACTGTAAGGCGCACGTGAGCGAAAGTTGATCGTTCAAAAATAGTCCCAGTATTCGAAACGGCGTTTCCAGAGCGATCGTTGAATCGCATTTATCGTACCGTGAAGGGGAAATACTGTTTCTACAGCAACTCACGAGAATCGATCATGCGTTTTAAAAATCACGCAAAAGTCGTGCCTGAGTTTAACAGAAATGTATCATTTGTTCACAGTCATATAAATTCTTGTTCCTTCGGGAAATGAATTTATTTTGCAATTAAAATAAGAAAGTGACGCGAAATGTAAACTCGTTTTATTGATCAGTTATAAAAATAATTATAACAATCCAAAAGTGTTCATCTCTTGTCTTTAGACTTCTTCAAATTCCTATTTAATTCCCTTAAATTTATTTCGTTCACATTTTTCAACGTTTTTTAAAAATAGAATTTCCGGCACGACCACGTAGTTTAGAAACGTATCACATTCGCGTCTTTCTGATAAGCTATAATAAAAGTTCATCCGGTTCCGCACACTTCCTTTTCCCTCCTCACTGCACATTTCGAAAAAATTTATAGAATGTTTGACACATACAGTAGAGTTCGTAAAAATGCATCGGCGATTTCCACGGAACAATTCGTGCGAGACGGAAGTAAAAATCACTGCGTTATCGTGTTAGGTAGCGAGGTCGAGCGAACGAGATCGCGGTGTCCACTTACGACAGACGAAGTCGAGGAAGAAGCAAGTTCGATGCCCGGAACTGATGACATAGCCGTTGTCGTCCGGTTTGACGGCGTAGTGCCCGTGTGCCACGTTACGGATCATCGGCAGGTGACTTAGATGTTCAGTGTACCGCACGGAGTACTTCCAGTGATCGTAATTCCCGCCCTCGTCGAGCACGCTAAAATCCTCTCTGAATTCAAACAGATCAATCAAATGCTGGTCGACCGAAGAAAATGCCGCGCAAACATATTCCATTCTGTCCTTTCGAATTAAAATACCTCGTTTCACATCTCTCTCTGTATCTCGAAGATAAAAGAATAAAAATTCTTCCTCTCTTTATTTCCTCTTCCTTCTATTAATAACGTATATAATAAAAATGTAGAGCTTATAGTCGACTAGTTAGATCTGGCAAGATAGAGAATTCAACAAGAACTCTTCACTTTGAGTCCCGCAATTGTGAAATGAATTCGTAAGGAACGTAACGTACATAACAAAGAGAATCCTTTTCGAGTTCAAACGATCACCCGGAAAGGCATTGTGCGACTCCTACTTACAGCGTTGGGTTCAATTTTTTCATGTTGCTAAAATCAGCCACAAACTCCCACACTAGCCTGGGATCCGACTTATTTATAATGCCCTCGAACATCATTTGATGCTTCTTCTTATAAATAAAGAGCGTGTACAAAAGCAGAATGCCTAGAATGCCGTGCAAGATGCTTCTCGTTTTCCATTTCATGGGATTGAGACTCATCTTCTGCAGGTGGGGAAAAAACAGGGTAAAAACCGGTCGTTATACACAGATACGTAAATCATAGGAAAGAATAAAAATAAAACTTCTTTCCTATGTGACAAAATTTATTTTATATTAAAAAAACTCAATTTTATACCAAATAAATTTTGAAGTGTAATGAAGATCACATTCACTTTTTCACGGTAAAATATTAACATAAAGATTAACATAACAACATTAATACATAAAAATTTGAATGAAATTATAAAGATACATGGAAGTCACGTCAAGATACAAACAGGTTTCAAACAGAAATGTTCTCGGGTACTGATTTATTCGGTTTTAAGGCAAGATGCGTAAGTGGAACGAAACGAGGCGTTCCGAGTATTCGTATCCCAGAGACGCGATTCTCTTCCAAACACTCAACGAGGAGGCAGCGTGCTTGGACACGTCATTACGAAAACAAGAAGTTCGTTAGGCAAATGAAACTTCGCACTTACCGCACCGTCGCAAGGGCCGTTCGATTGGCGCGGCTCGGCACGGGTTTGCGAGCACTTCCGGTTGGAAGTTTATCAGCCCGAAGCACGGCGATTTCGAGAGACGGCGATAGGAGAGACTTCGCCGGCGAGATAGCAGCTCACCGCCCGACGCGCTCCGATCCTACACTGGAGCCCGCCCGTTCCGAGCAGTGTCCCTTTTTATTTCTCTCGCTACGCCTCGTCCCTACGTCACGCTTTGTATGAACGTAGATGTGCTCCAGGGGCCGACAATACGAGCCTGTCGGCTGAGGTGGCGTGAAACGAGATCCCTCGACGCGCCTCGTGACAATATCCGATCGGGGAAAATTCGTCTCGCGTGATTCGCGATATAAAAAATTTATTTAACATTTTTGTACAAGGATCTTATTAAACACAAGGGGCGATCCGCGAAATTTTTGCCCTAGTCGACTTGTTTTTTCTTGAGCATGGACTCCACGTGCGCAGGCAGCCGAGCGTCCATTTCGCTGGTCGTGGTCATGGAATTGAAGTTCAACAGTCTCACCAAACCGTTCTGGTAGCCCGTCATGAGCCACAGATAGCTCCAGGCATTTCGATCCCAAGCCATCTAAAAGAAAAAGTATATTCATTTTATCCTCTATCGGCACTTCGTTTGTAGTCACGTTTCTATATCTACATATTTTAAGGAAAATCCGTGATTCTTGAAATGTGCCAATATATTTCACTTTGATTATCGCGAGGAAAGCTAGGAGAGAGAATCTTCACCAACGTACCCGGTTTACAGAAGTAAATGGATATTGTTCGATAGGGAAAGGCATCAGCTTGTCGTTATTCAGAGTATCTCTAGGTTTATCTCTGGCAAGGTTTCTTCTTAAATTCTGAAATAGGAAATTGGTCGACGTTAGATATAATAAAATATTACGCGAGAGACCCGTCTGGCAACTTACTGTTAAATTATCGTGGAAGACGATGCCGAAACGATCTTTACATTCGTTATAGGTGTATGGCATATACTGATAGTCGTTGGGACTCTTCGTTTCTTTACTCTTATTGGCCTGGTCACGTTGCTGCTCGTCTGAGAAATCCACCGTCTCGATGAAAGAGTTCAACTGTGACGAATCATGAAAATACGTATAGCAGAAGTTATTATAACAAAATATTTAATTACGTAACGAATATAATGATGTAAGAAGGTACAACTTCCCACCTGTCTTTTCTTGGGTAACGATTTTTCTGCATACAACAGTTGGTGAGGAAAGATGGTCATTACTTGTCCAGCTAAAGTGCCGTGTGCAATACCATTAGCGTAATCGGAAACGGCGAGACCCTAAAAAGATTGGACGTTATTTTTCAGGAAAGTATATCGCCTGAAAGAGACGCAAAAATAATATATGTTCTTACATAAGTAGTCGAGTTGGTCGGTAAAATTGGATTATACTTGTATCCGTATTCTCTCAATGGCGCTACAAGGGTATGCATGTAGTGGTGCCTGAAAGAATAATCGTGTTAGAAGTAACTGTTGTCGGTCATTGTCATCTTTGCGCGTGATAAATTTTACCCAAGCGCGTCGTCGAAGGTAAGAACCGCGCTAGGCCAATGCATCATCCACACGCCGTCCGTTATTATGCCCTTTTTCATGTAACTTATCGGTCCACTCATGTCTTCTCGATCCCAAAATTTATACGACCTGTCCATGCTGGCGGAGGCGAGGAATCGACTTTTGTTGTGTGGAATTAGTGCCACCACTACACAAGAGGACACGACAATGCGTCTTTATACATATACTTTTTTTTATTCTTAAATGAGACAAGATTCACTTACTGGTAACTGCGTTGTAATGAGCAAAGAAATGATGAATTGAGTCTAGAAATTTTGTATTCCCCCGTACGGTGATTACTAAAGGTGAGACAGTCGTAAGGTGCCACAATCCGATGTAACCGTTCGAGAAACCTGCCGCGATGAAGCTACACGAAGATATTTACAATTATTTTTCCTAATATATGTATACGTAATTCTTACGGAAAATAATTTACATCGCGGATATTACTTATGTCCGTGTTCCTTCGTCCACGATAGCCTGGTGCACATGTAGTTTTGTTTATTATTGTCGTACACCAAAAGATTTGCCACCAGTGTTATTATCGGATCGGTTTTGTAGATCGGCCACCTTTAACAAATCGCATAAAGATTTTAAGTATAAGGAAAAGAAAGATAATAATGTACAATCAAAATCACAACGTGACTCACAAATTACGTTCCGTTTTCTCGAACTGTAGTTCATCCGGAAACGGTAGCGAATAAATATTTATACATCCGTCCGAGCATGCAGCCGCAAGTAATCCCATTCGCCTGAGCTTACTCTCGCCTGCTTCGTAATTGCCGAGCTCGATGTCCTGATAGCATCCCGATGGGCACCACTCTAAGCACCAAACTGTACCGCTGTTATGCGTGATCGCATAGGCTAAAACGGGCGATCTTCTTGCGCTGTCATTTCTAAAAAGAATACACGATGTAATTTCAATAACTTAATAATTGATCATAACGTCTCGAGTTACTGACTTGTGATCTAGAGGTCCAACATCCCATATCTGTATGACGTTTGGTCCCGAATAACTTTTTCCCACGGTATGCTGGCTCTCCATCGTAGGATGTGTGCTAATTGCGACGTACTGTGTCGGGTTCTTGGAATACATCGGTGATGGAATGGGCAACCACGCTAACGACCATACAGGACCACCGACAAAAAATGTTGGCACACCTAAAACAATATTACAATTGAATTTAGAAAGATTCTTTGTTAAATGTTTCAACATCTCTCTCTCTCTCTCATATCTTGTATAATAAAATCTTGTGAATTACCTTCACAGACATCACTCTCAAACCTATTCAAGCGTTTCCAATTATCAGAAATACTCTCCGAATTGTCGGATGCATGTTGGAAGGCCATCGAAACCTTTAGCTCTGGCAAATACGTTGCGGCATCGTTGTCTTCCAACAACGTAAAACAATTTGGCGTTTCGTCTTTAAACAACGCCAATTCATAATTTTTCAGTTCGCTGTCACAAAAATTATAAATAAATCGAAGATGTTTAAATAAAAAAATTAGTTGCGTGAAACAGTTAATGTGAAACAATAGAAGGTAAACTGTACAGAGTTAAATTATGGTGATGAAAAATCAAAGTTAAACTCTAATAGTATTTGGAGCACACACGCAAGCTAATTATACTTACAAATTCAGAGTCAAATGTAAAGCTGGTTTATAAACTTCGGTTGATTGCGAGCTTTGCATGATCTCTTTTTCTAAGAAAGCCATTCTAGGGTAGGTTTCTAAAATTTCAGAGATAAATGCGATTAAAATAAATTATTTCGTATTACTACATGCATTATTAAGTATCCATTGGTTCTGGTTCTGATTTGAGAAAAAAAGTGATCTCCGTATAAAGTTATTTATTACTTGACTATGTGTATCGTCTACTCGACACTATCTTAGTTTCAAACAATCTGACAATTACATTTCTATTTTAACCCTTAGCTAGCACCGTGGGGTATTAAACGCCTCAACCTAGTTCAGCTCAAATTTAAGCCCCCTTAGGGCAACTTTCACCAAGCTCCGGTTAACCCAACCGGTCTAGTAACATGCAGGATTGCAACCGAATCTGATATATTTTCTCAGATTCTCATCAGATTTCTCATCAGATTCGGTTGCAATCCTGCATGTTACTAGACCGGTTGGGTTAACCGGAGCTTGGTGAAAGTTGCCCTTATAGTACGAAAATTGTACTTATGGTGCCATGTCTTGTTCCCAGTGTGCCTGCTAAGGGTTAATGACGTCTTTTTTGCGAAACTATTGTATGTTTTATATTTTCCAACTAAACATAATTTAAGACAATAATTTAATATTGGAGAGGAAAGCTCGTTTTTTTGTAAAGACAAATCAACGATAACAAAAGGCCAATAATAATACGAGCAATATAAGGTGAAAGTAAAAAGTACTTAACTATTTAATATATATGTATATTATATGTAAACCTTACCCACTCTCTTATTCTTAATTCGTTGACCATTGCTAATACTATTTTAACCTAATGAATTTAACTGTATTGTTTTAATATTTGCGCTGAAGAAGGCGGTGTGACGCCGAAACGTTCGCAAAATATACTATATATTAAATAGTTAAGTACTTTTTGACTTTTACCTTATATTGCTCATATTATTATTGGCCTTTTGTTATCGTTGATTTGTCTAACAATAAGACAATAATCTTGATTTGTACCAACTAATGAGTGTAACCAATATTATTTTTCATTTTTAATATGACTATCTTGCTTCATTTACATTGCAATTACGGTTGTTACTCGCTTTAATTTGTTAAATAAGAATAATAAAGAGACATGACTTATTTATTCGACTCACTTGTATTATCGGAGCTCATTTTCGACAGACAACGATTAAACTTTCGTTTTATATTGCAATCGGATGAACTGTCGTCTGATAAATCTTCTTCTATTTCATAATCGGAATTCTGTAAGTCAATGTTGCTAAAATGATCTTCTCTTATATGACTTACAATCTTATCTTTACAATCCGCGGAAAATGTACACATTTTACACACGAAATTCTAGAAAAAAAAATTTTTGAATATACATCGTTTTTCTATAAATATAGTAAAATTATTAAAGACGCATACCTCTTGTGCAGCAAATTCACATTGATAATAATGTTCGCAGATAGTTTCGTAAGAGGAGCACGAGTAAGTACATCCTACGTGTTTGCAAGATGCGTTTCCTTTTGAAGCTAATTCCTTGTCCCACATAGATTTCCAAACACTCGGTATATGTTTCTTTCCGGGTGTTCGTATTATATTCTAAATATATCAACAGTATATTAATACACATGACAGAGGTAAGAGATTGATGTTGCCAGTAAATAGTTAGCAATATATGGAATGTTTAAATTTTATTTGGGAAATTTTACATTCACTACGTTTCGACCACTTGATAAGGACCACAATCCGGATGGTCGAAACATAGTGAACGTAAAATTTCCCAAATAAAATCTCTGCCAGTTGGGTCGACAAAACATTCCAGATATTAATATACATTATTATAAGTTATAAGTATAATAAATAGTAACAGTTAAAATTTTTATATACAAATGTGCATCTGAAATTATCCTTTACCGAGTGTCGAATTTTGTCCTTCAACAATTCGGTGAATTCCAATATCTTTGGTATCGCCCTGCAATTGCAAAATATATCCGTGTATATACATACGTAGCTACATTAATAAGGATTAATTAATAATTGCATAATTTAAGCAATTTAGAATTAAAATTTTGTGCCTACTTCTCTGCCGCTTTCCGTCTAGTTTTTTCGATTAGTAGACTTGCTTCATTTTTACTCTGTTCCTGTTGTCTGTGGTACCGTTCGTGTACTTCCACGGAGGAAGGCATCATACGTGCATCGCAGATAGGACATATGATCATTAATGCTTGCCTTTCCTACAAAGTAGACAAAACACCTTTAGTAAAATGCCACGTGTCCGTATGATGTGCGATACATAAGAAGTAGTGTGCCTTTCACGCTTACTTGTTCGGATTTACCGCAAAATTGCAGATGCGACATAAAACCCGCGACACTCCGTTTCATAACTTCACACTTTTCACAAGTCAGGAACTTCTTTTTCTGCTTCATAGCGGCAGTCAATACTTTCTTCAACAATTTCTCGTCATTCTCAAAGTCCTAGACATACAAACAAATTTGATTTTTGACAAGCTTTTATTAACATATTTAAAGATCTGCAATGCTGCTGAACGTATTATTTACCAATGGCTCCTCATCCTTTCGCCAAGCCATGTTATTATGTTGATGTAATTTATGCAAGGGCCACTGTTTCTTCGGTACTTCTTGGTCGCACTTGGCGCAAGTCACCAATTGTTCCTACAAATAAAGGACATAATTAAATTATTTAGATTACAATTATTTTGTGCTGTAGCGCAAATCTCTAAAATGTATCGCAACCTACAACTTTGTCAATGTTCGAAGCTGCCGTCGCATCTGTGTCGTCTACTTTGTTACTCTCCTTTGTTCTCGATAGAGAAACATCCTTCGTTGCTAACCTAGGAATGTACTCGGCATCCAAGGAACTTTGCGACGTTCCCCTACCGCGCCCTCGTCCTCGTCCTCGTCCTCGACCTCGGCCTCGACCGCGTCCACGTTCCTGGCCTGTAGAACCAGGTGGTCGACCTCGTCTAACGACGAAAGTTTCGTCCTCCGCGCTATCACAACTTGAATCACTCATATTGGAAAACTTAATTTTACTAGCGCGCCTCGTGCGTGGCATGGCTTCGGTAAGGGTATCGGGAATCTCTTGCAAGGTATCGTCGCCCTTGATTTTTTTTGGAGTGCTCTGATCGATAGAATCATCTCTAATTTTTTTAGGTCTTCCCCTTTTTCTCTTGACGACACTTGGTACTACAGATAGCTGGCTTTGTTCGTCATCTTTCATCTCACTTGCCGTATGTTTATGTATTTCTTCGTTCTGTACATGGTTCTTTTCATTTGCTTCATAACGTGTACATACAATCTTACGTACATTTGTGTCCGGATGAAACGAGACTTGTTTCCCAGTTACAAGCTTCGTACATTTTCTCGTCGACTTCGGATCGTCATTTGCCGTCGTCGATGGCATTGTCTCCGTGAATGATTGCGTCAAATTCGGCAATTTAGCTTGAACTAATCTCGACTCTTTCTCGTCATTACGTTCGACAGCAGCTTTCAAATCTGCAGGCAGTGATCTTGTTGGTCTAGCTGGTAGTGCAGTTACGCCATTCTCGACTTCCTTAGCTTCTCGGTCCTTCGTAATACTATCATGAGTTAATTGAGAAAAATTATTTGATACAACGCGATCATTAATTTTGCCCTGGCTGAAAGCCCTTTTACTTTTATCAGGTACATTCTTGTTATAAATTAAGCCAACAGCAATCTCTCTATGCGAATTACGCACAGCGCTCGTACCGCTATCTAACGTTAACTGCGATAAACCGGAAACATAGTCTGTGGAGGTAAAAGACACGGACGTTTCTGGTTTAACGGAGGCTAACTGCTTCTTTCGAGAAAATGTCTTTGGCGCACAATCTAGACTTGCTCTTTTACTAAGACATTTGGGTGTTAATTCAGTTGCATCCTGCAAAGCAGCGAACTTGCAAGATTCAGGTACTTCGTTATTTAAATTACTACTTAAATTCGTCTCACATCTCCTCGCTATGTTCTTTCTCTCTACATTTGTCTGTCGTTCGATACTTTCGAATCTCTGCTCGCTGAGCTCTGAACTGATGAGATTCTTCGAATTACTCTGAGCACCAAGTAATACACCTTTGTGTACATGGCTCTCGTCGCGTGTATCTAGAGTAACGGACGTGCCGCCGTATTTATTGTTATTCTTAACATTAGGATACCTTAACTCAGGATACCGAATGTCCAGCGCCTTCTTGTTCCTCTTCATCCTCCAGAAGGCGGCAGTCGAGTCTCTACGACTGCAACGGAAGGCTGAATTTCACCTGGTTTCACCTGCAACACACAATTGCCGTTCTTACACGTTCTTACACGCGCCCTCGGCGCAATATCCCGATGGCGAGAAATACCGGAGAAAAAAAATGAGAGGGAAAAACCCGGAAAAACGGAGGCGCTCGGGGATTCGAACGTGGTACGCGTGGCATTGGAGTCCAATCTCTTGTCGACTACTCCAAAGCATAGTCGCGCGCTCCGCGCCCTACGGGGCTGCTCATTACCTTGTGGATCCGCGTTCGCCGAACGGGATCTCACGTTGTCAAAATAACGAAGCGATCTCGCGACTGTCCGTCGTTCTCGAGACGCGCGAGCGGACGGCGCGAATAGGTTATATACGCGCCGTTCGCGTCAAGTCGTCGGCTTTAATTTTTTTCTCATAGCGTTTAAAGTCTACGCACTCACCGTAAGTACAAATACGACAGGTCGCGCGAGAAAATTACAGTTTTTCCTCCTATTTTCGTCCGTTTTATCCGGCGTCGTCTCGCGTGCACTTGTTAAGCTGCACGTATGTAGGTACACGCTTGCGCGGATAGAATGGTTATCTCTCGCAATTTTTTTTTACCATGCGAGTTTAGGAACGCGCGCAATCAGAATGGGAACCACCGCCTCCGCGCGATAGATATAATTATTTAGTGTGATAATAGTATTTACTTATGTAACGAGAGTATGATAGCTGTCATACTTTCGTTACACAAGTACTTTAACAATAATATCCGTATTCATAGTCGTTCCTCAATTCTCAAGGTTAGTCTGTCTTTGTCTCGCTACTACGTTTTACCATACGCGAGACAAAGACAAACTACCCTTGAGAATTGAGGAACGACTATGAATACGGATATAAGTTCCATAGTAATAAATATATGGCACTAAAGTCTCGAGGGGGTGCTGGAGTGTTAGCACTTTTGCACCTTTCTAACCTAGAAACTGTCCGTTTCGTGGAAACATTTGTGTAATGTACATAATTTTTGTGATAATTTTAAATTAAAAATTTTTCACGCGAGTTTTATGTAGGGGCGATCAACGGTACGCCTTTTTTTTCTCGTGTTAGGTACTTTACTGTTCCCGTTTTCACCGCGCATGCGCGAAAAACCCGGCCAGTCTTCCATCGCTGTCCCTCGCGCCCGTTCTACATTAGGGATGATCGGGATGATCCTACATGTGGCTCATTCGAGTGAAGAAGTTTACACGGGCATTTTAGTACGACTATTATACCAAGTATGGTTTTTGTGTAGGATCTCACTATGATTTTTAACAGTCTTCTTATGCAGAAGTAGCACCCGAGTTCATAAAACTTTTTAATTCTTGCAATATGAGAAATTTTGCAACATCACTATCCTACTAGAGATCTTGCTCCAGAATTCTGGAGCCTCCTTTTTCGCTACAAGTGCCTAAAATTTGGTTTCGAAAGATTCTTATTAGCTGAAAGGATCTTTTACAATTTTTCGATATAAAGAGGATACAGAATGAGAGGGGGGGGGGGGGGGGTTTGCAACATTGTTGTTTTTCTAGAAAATATACCAGTAAATAGTATAGCATATCGATCAAGTGCACGCGAATAATTAACAGTAAGAAACATTTTAGAGGATTTTATTTACGAAGATTTCTATGAACTTATATCATCCTTCTTAGGAGCTCGTTAATCTTATCCTCTCGGTTACCGAAGTCACCGCCCTCCACGTAATGGTTGGTCTTCTTACGCCATCCACCATTTGGCGTATTAAGCTGGAAACGAGAAATGACACTCGATGTATGTAGATTTACGACGTTTTCGAAGAAATAAAGCGGATGTAATATCGTAATTGTTTATGATACATAAAAAAATGTTTGAGCTCTTATGAAATTTATGATATCAAGATTCATTCATCTATGGAAAAAGCTCGTATTGCTCTTCGACACAGTAGGAGGTCGATAGACTCTAGATTAATCTACAACCATGCCTATGTCGCAGTGTAAAATGCGTATGCCGTTTTCCTTTAATATCTTGAAGACTAACATACCTTGAAGGGCCACAGAAAATTGCTAGCGAATTTGAATTTCGGACCGACGGTGAATATCTCGTGGATCAAGTCTTCAGTACAGATGATGTTAGATCGGCCTGCAATCAAAGTGTTGAGAGAAATTATTTCTTGTCGATAAACTGCCCGGCAAATTGTGGCACTAGCAGGCAACGCATACATGCGTACAAATTGTTACAGGATTTTTGTAGCAATCGTTGCTAGACCTAACTGTATAACAAGTCAGGCTATACTAAATTGCTTCATTAATTTCCGACAAATTGGAAGGGAGACTGTGTGTGTATATTCCCGAGACTCCCATGGATTTTGTCAGGAGACCGTTTGCCGAGAATGCAACTGTGCACACCTCGGTAACTCCACTCGGACGATCGCCGGCGATTAATATTATAAGACGTTTCAGGCCTGTCGCACATAAAATCGCATAGTTACAAATGCGTAACATAAAGGCCTGTGTGTCCACGATGCTAGAACTTGGACGAATAAGAACAGTCTAAACCAACGAGTATCGAACATCAATTCTCTATATTGATTTACGTATGCTCATTGGTCTACACGGTCTTACGTTATACATATGCGTCTATGCAATTTTGCATGCGGCAGCTCTTACTCACCCAGCTTCTTCTCGATGATGGAGTTGCTGGTGATAGGTACGCGCTGCCTGTTTATCTTGGCGAAGCCGCGTTTGTAGAGCAACTCGCGCACCGACTTCAAGTTCGGGTATCCCCACGTGATGTAGGGCTCGACGATGCGTAACATGTTGATCGTCGCCTTGTTCAGCTTTACGAAGACGCCATTGTTGATCTGTTTCAGACGGAAGAGCTGCAGCACCTTCCGCACTTTGGGAGCAATTTGGTTCACACTGGAAAAATTGCAATTACATTAGATAATTGTGTCGCACGAAAGGAGACGTTTAGCGTTACAAAAGCGTCGAGTGAATTAATCTTGTAACTTCGAGGCGGGACAGACACGATTCACATTAGTGTGCTCGCACTTACCCTCGAATACGGATAACGAATGCGAGACGCGCTTCGCCCGGAATGTAGTAATTCCCGCGGTTCTTCGCCTGTCTCATCAACCGGATCTCATCTCTCTCCTTCCTCCTGTACTCCTTCACGTATTCCTCGGCTCTTTTGAAGATCTGCTTCCTCTTCTTGTAGCGATCCGCGCGTTGCTGCGAAACGGCACAAAGTTAAAAAATCAACTCGCCACGCAGTACCTCGTCTCGCACGGAGAAACACGGAGACATCCGTGACGAAAGAAGGGAATAAACTACCGAGTCGTTCGAGACGCGACACGATTACCTTGATGGATATCTGTAGACGCGCGGCCTTAACTTCCTCGCGGCGTTTTCTTCTTTTCAGCACCGACTCCGGCACTGCCGGCAGTTTCTTCGCCGGAGAAACAGCTTCTGTCTTCCTGCACGGGAGAAACAATCGTGTATAGAATAACAGTCTCCCGAGTATGTACACATGTTCGAGAAGCCACGTAACCTCTCGTTAAAGTTAGGTTATGCCGCGACGATTTCTTTTAATTCTAATTGCCAGGATATTTTTCACGCAAAGTACAAACGTACGAACGGCAAAATGACTTTGTGCTCGACGGAAAACAAATTCGTTCTCGCGTAATCGCGCAAACGGTATTATCGTCACCATGAGGGACGACGCGTGCACTCGCGAACTCGGAGCCGACAATCTCGCTTGCTCGCTCGTTCGGAAGAAAAATATGGATTCGCTAATACGCGTGCAACATAAAGGAACGTTAGCGCGACGGTTTTGCATTCGCGAAATCATATTGTCGGCTGATGCGGCCGGATTTCGCGAGATGTTAAAGTTACTTACGCGTCGGCCATTCTTTCCGGAGATAAAGGAGTTCTCGACCAGTGCTGCTAAATCGCGGAACGCTGGACCCCCCATCTTTCTCCATATACCGCGCAGCGGAAAAGTGACTGTAGCACGCGGGCGCGGCGGCATGTTGTGCGACGCGTCGGCCAATCGTCGTGAAGCCGCAACTTGAAAGTGAGAAGCTCATTGGCTGAGACGGATTATACCTCGATCGTGCTCGGGACGTACGAAAGCGACAAAATCACTAGATATCCCAGTGAAATGCATTGAGGATGGAAAAAGAAAACCTACGGGCCTGTCCACAATAGAGAAAATATAGTATTACCATAGAAATAAGAATAAATGTTTGATCCATATTATTTATATCTTGTATTTCTTTCTTTTGCATTGTGCGTTATATTTAAGGTGCGTTCGGGGAGCGCGCTTTCAGCGCTAAAAGCGTCTTCTATCTTTGTTCGACGTACAGTGAGTGACGAAGATAGACTGACGTTTTCAGCGCTAATAGCGTCTCCCCGAACGCAGCCTTAATCTGTTTTCTTTTTTCTCTCTAATACTTTTAATCTCTAATATCTTGAACATTATTCAATATTTATTCATTTAATATTCATTTCTATCCTTCATATTTTCTTTATTGCGTGCAGGGCCTAATATTCGACAATAGACAGACCCCGATAGGAATTGCTCAAAAATTGATAATCTCAATTTAGAGGATAAATCATGCACAATTATTTCGACATTTAGAAGCAAACTTACCCAGCAACACAGTCACGTCTAATAAACGTTTATCCAGATTTATATAGTCACATAATTTCCGAAATATTTTCCTATCGGGGGACTTGAAAATGGATAGCTCGCATTGATATATTACAGTTCTCTATAGTCAAAATCCAATAACAAGTGCTTTTCTACGATTACAAAATGTATTTAGTATAATTTTAATTTAAATATATTCTGTTCTTTTAAATAAAAAATTACGCGTGTGATTTGCACTACACGGATTCTTCACCTTGATATCTATATGCTACTCCGCTTTCTTAAATTCTTGGTAAATATTCATAATTTTTGTCTGTTTATTAATAAATATTACAATTCAAAAGATATTTGTAACACTTATTAATGAAATATGCCATTCATTAAAATGTCTACAATGAATCAATAATCGCGCGGAAATCTCTCAATTTTAAATACTTGTAACTTCAATTAAAAAAAAAAGAATTATATAATTTAAAGCAATTTTAATTCTTAAAAAAACTTTACGGAATTTAAATGTGATTTATTTTAATGAAAATACAAGGATAACGAAAAGTAAAATCTGATTCTGAATTGGGAAAATGACAAGCCGCGGGTGTTAGAAACTCTTTATTAGTTACTTTTGTATAAATATCTGGATTTTAATAATGGCAAAAGAGATTAATAATACAAACCATGATAGTAACCGTAATAATATCTTTCGTCGTGTAATCGAGATTAATAGTAATAAGTAAAAAGAACATTGTATATAATACGCCGATATAACATCGTAACTCGTAACATTCCGTGAAAAATAGATCTAAAAGATATTTCTACGTATAAGAGACAATTATAGAACAACTATTAAAAAAATATCTTCCATATAATATAAATCGTTAAAACAATGCAAAACGTTATTACATTCATAAAGATCGCTGCATTTCTTGCATACATGTAATATATATCTATGTATATCTTTATTATATATAATTATATATATAATTCATCATCTTGCGATACATTTGTTATATATCATGGCACATTCGTCTAGAATTATAAAGATCCACACAAACCGCGATGCGCACCGTTCACGATTGATCTCAAATCCAGCCAAGCTCTCGCGTAAGTCGAAGAAAATTATTCGCGCAATGTATAACTGCTTCTCCGTTTTGTAATTCACCGCGGCGCAAGTACGGAGCCAAAATTGGCTGGCGGAATCAATCAGAGATGAAAGAGATCGGCCAGAGGTTGACTGAGTTTCCGATTCATCTCGTTATTAAGACCTCCGGCTTGCCTGGAGACACCCAGGCTCGCGACGAGCGATCCCTCCTGAATAGTGAAATATTGCGCGCATCGCTCTGGAAGAGCTCGACGTTGGCCGTTCGTTGGGACCGACACACTCGTCCACACACGCATTCCATTAAACACATTAGTAAAGCATTCGATTTTTGGTAATATTAGAGACTCCTTAAGATCGCACTACGAGAGCACATTAAGTAGGAGGGAAGCGGCAGCTCGGTAGGCACTTCTCTCGCTAGACGATCGCGATTCTGTCGCGGCGCGGGGACCACCCCGAATTTCGTATACTAAGGGATACTTGTGTAGCTTATCTAATCGCGAGGGCGAATAGAACAATTGCACTGTACGATCACTCGCAGAAGCCTAGCTGGGCTAAAAAAATATATGTATGTATTATGTATTATATATATATATATTACATACATTTTTTAAAAAATAAATTTACTAGCGAAAACTCACGTATATGAACTTACGTAAGTAAATTCAATTCGAAAACGAGCTACCGCCTGCAGATTAACGGTACGTCCCTAACAGCCCACCATGTTGACTCAGTACTGTTGCAAAATGTAAATGCATTTAGTATACCGAGAACATCTCTATGATATCCCATATTTTTGTCCGGTATCCTCTGAACACTTTCTCAGCAGAATCTACATGTGCTGTTAGGAGCAGAATCGCGGTAAAAGATACGTAAAAGGGATAAAGAGCCAGTGTTTTGCGACAGTGTGGAGGATCCTCAGAATAAATAGAGACGCGGTAAAACGCCGGATGGGACGGGGTGGGTTAATCGAGAAAACGGAAAGTGTTAATAGCGGTGGCGCGTCGCCGGGCCTGTCCTCGGCACCGCGCGACATCGGGAAAAATTAATAAAATTAAATGATATGTTGCTTCTCTTGTTAATCCGGTGGTTCTTAAACCGTAAATGAGTAAACGTAAGATTAACTCTATATTAAACCAAGCGCGTAATTATCTCTATCATCCTCGAGTTGTATAAGCGAAGAAAAAAAAAGAAGAAACCTACTGTGCGAATGCGAAAGTAAAACGGTCAGCGTTCTCCTATACGCGTAATGTTATGTGCAATCGACTCGCGTCTCGTAAGATCGGTCGTATGGCTATCGAGAAACGATCCATGGCTCGCGGCTACGAAACATCCACGATTAAAATACGTTCGTAAGGCTGCTGATCGAAAGCACGAGTGTTACATCTATCTAAGGGCACTTTCTATCGCTTTCGCTAATAAATAACTCTGCCGCGCGTATTATCCTTCCGCCTCATTTCGAATCCCTCCTCATTCTCATTCCGGTCTCAATTTCAAAGCTCGATACGTCGTTGATCTCAATTGAGAAAACTGTTTATCGTACTAAAATAATTTTATCTGTGCTTCGTCAAACTTTTCATACCGCATTTCTTATTAGGCTACTTGAATTTGGACAAGTCACTTCTTTCAAGATCGTTTCCGGACGAAATTACCGGCAGTTTCGATAGTATGCAGCGAGCTTCGTTATTTTCGCTTCTCACTGCTTGTCCTCGTAACGAAAGGTTTTGGTGTTGGACTCCTGCCGACTCGACGTCGTCATAGTGACGGTCTTCTTCTCCGTGACCTTGTGCATCGACTGCTTCATCGTGCGCTCTTCGGTGTCGTTGCCCTTGAACGTCGACAGCTCGTTGCCGGACGTTGTGAACTGCTTGGTCTCCTCGGTGGTCTCGTAGTTGGAGCTGCTGCTACTCTTGCCGGGCGTGGACGAGTACACCTTCGTCGTAATGGTCTCGACTCTGCCGCCGGGAATGACCTTACTCTCAACATTCTTGAACGTTTGGTGCTGCGGAATACCGCCGCTGAATCGCTGGGTGTCCACCTGCTTCTCGGAGCGAAACGTGCTCATCGGACTGACGCCTGAGAACCGATCAGTTGAATACTTGAGCTGATCCTGCGGAGACTTTCGGTCCTCGGTCGTTTGCTCCTGGACGATCTTCGGGGTCGGGGATTTCGTCGAGTACGAGATATGCTGGGGCGGCGGATACAAAGTGATCCCGTCCGCGTGTTTTCTCTCCGTGGCGAAGCTCTCCTGATTGATTCTTCGCTCGATCGAACTGTACTGCCCGGGTGAATTGTCCGTTATGATCTTCCTCTCGGTGACGATGTACGGGCTCCTATCCTGATAACCGTCGACAGTGTACTTCCTGTCGAGCGATCCGTACTGATCCACGGTGGACCGGTACTGGCTGTCCTTCATCTTTCTCTCGAGCGTGCTCTGCGTCGAGTGCACCTTTTCCGGACTCACGAGACTCTGCTGATCGGCAAACTGGTGGCTGATGTGTTGCGTGGTGGACTGCAACTGGTCCAGAGTATGATTCATCGTCTGGATCGGCGAGGTCTGCGGCTCGTACGCTCTGGTCTCGTACCGGGTGGTGTAACTTTGGTAGCCGCTCTGATCGACCGCTACGTCGCCGTCTCCGTCAGCCAGATCCGGCCGATTCTTATATTTAGCCAGACGAATGGCGGTCAGCCTGCCTCGGGCCTCCTCCAGCTCGCGTTCAATTCGCAAAACCTCCGAGCGTGCGTCGATTTCCTGCGCGATACCGCCCACCATGCGGCGGTTCAGGACCAACGATCTGTCCTCCTCTTGCTGGATAGCCTGTTGCGCAGCACGTACGAGATTATCGGTAGCACGTTTCACGGCGTTACCAGCCGCTTGCAAACGTTTCGTGCTCTCGCTGTCAGGGTCGGCTTTGACCTTGCAAGCGACCAACAGTTGCGCCGTGCTGCTAGCAACTTGCTTAGCGCTGGAAATCAACTTTTCCTCGGAGCTTACTCCTTGAACGAGAGCGTTTGCGGACTCCACGAGGCTGTGAGTGGCGGCTGCCACCATTCGAGCGGCAGAGATAAGACCCTCGGACCATTGGCCGTCGTCAGAGCTGGTCAGCGGCGTGCGCGACACCTTGCCGGTCGCGATGAGTTCCCGTTGAGCGGCACTTGCGGCCTTTATCAGCGCCGAAGTGGCGGCGGCGATTGATTTAGCGGCTTCCAGAATCATCTCGTCAAAGTTCATATCTTCGTTAGCCTCCTGTCAAACGAGAGGATATGTATTACAAAATGCGGGAAATAATTTTACTAACAATTAAAAACGAAAATAATTTTAGAAAAGAACTTTTACAAATTAAGATAATCAGCCATTGATTCCTTTTTTTTTCTATGCAAGAGGGAAGGTCTTCCAGTATCTTTCAGAAAAAAAAACTGATAATTCTATTCGTGAAACAGAAGAAAAGATGAATTTTTTGCGTCAATATAATATTTTCTACGAATGTCTTCTATCCCCTTAATTAATGCTCCGTTGTGTACGCTGATTTTTCCAATCGCCGTAATAATATGTTCGATTCTCGGTCGATCATTCACAACGACCAAGAAAATCAAACATATCTCGCGGGGACCGGGGCGACTCGTGCCATCCAGGTGTGCCGTACCGCACCTGTTACTTCGCAAATCACCACGGGGTTTTTCTTCGGAAACTCACCTGGATGCTTCTCCTCGGTCTCAGACTGGCTAGCTTCTTGGCGGCCGCGTCGATGCTGGCGGCCGCCCCGAGCAATTCGTTCTCCGCGATCACCGTGGGATCGTCGGGATCGACCCAGTCGTTGCCCTTCAACAGCTCCGCCACCGCCACGAGCTCTGTTACGCTCTGCGCGATCTTACGCGAGATCATCGGCAGGGTGTGCTTGGCGTCGCCCGATCTCGACGATATCTGCAGAATGGCCTGAAGCAGCTCCCGATAATTAATGGCGACGTCGTGGCCCGCTTGGAGGGTACGCTCGCACAGCTCGGTGGTCTCGGCGCAATTGTGGGCCGCGCCCTTGCAGATGGTCAGCATGTCGCTGATGGCCTTCCTGCCCATATTCGCGGCGGCGATTATGTCGTCCTGCTTGCAACTGTTCCCGGCGGCGACCGCCTTCGCCGTCGATATGGTGATGCTCTTCGTGCAGCGCACGAGGTCCTCCGGCGTCACGTTGCTCCTCTGCGTCTCCGAGCTGCTGAGCGCGCGGATCTCCTGCGCTATGGCCTCGATCGTCGACTCCAACGCCCTGGTGCCGCGCGTGTGCTCGTCCTCCACGGCCTTCACCGTCTTCAGCAGCGACGTTACGTTGGTCACCATTACCTGTGGGCGAAGATTGAATGTAATTTCAAGGACGAATCGCCCCGCAATTGTAACATTAATATCTGCGAGAGAGAAAGAGAGTGCGATGGAATATATAGTTAGTGAATATAGTATAAGTTAAA